ACGTAGTGCTCGTCGTAAGTTGAGCTTTTGAAAAACTTCGAAAGTTCTTGTAAGTCTCTCCTATTCTGTGATCATATCGGCGATTTGACAGGCGAACACTGGACTAAAAACCGACTCGGGGGTTCAACAAAGTTTGCTTTCGCAAACCGTACAGGTATCAGAATACAATGATGACGCGAAACCGATTTCGGTATTTCTGTAAAAGGTGTTATGGTTTCATTATCGTAAACCTTTTATGCAAGATATCAAAATACATATCTCTCAAGCGTTCCAAATGATCGACTTGGTATCTCACTTTCGTAGTAGGTAGGTGTATTTTTCTCTCATCATAACATGCGCGTACTAGACTGAAAAGCCAACCTGAGAGGGAGGAGCCGGTGAGAATTCTGACGGTCTTTCTTGGCCTTTTCAAGCGAAAAGTTTTATTTAAGCTTTTTTGGTCTCTTGCGAGTAACCATGATTTTATTCCCGAATCACGGGTGACAGGGTCTCCGAACAGCGAGGATGCAACGCTAACCTGCCTGTAGCCAAAACCCGCTGCCGATGTTCGATGGACTTAGCCGAATGGATCAAGAAAGAGCCTACGTTTACAGTTTACACTGAGGACAACATACTTTTTGGAAAGGTCTCTGTGGATCTTTTGTCTCAAATTCTCAACTTGGACTTGGCCTGCTCCAACGTATGGTTCAGCTCCAACCGCCTAGTAATTTTGAAACATCCTGAAGTTTCTTTGACTCGGAACACGTTGTAAGTAGTAGGTTCACGCTAAACTTTATTAGAGATACGCTCATCGCGCTTTAGAGTTTATCTTATCTTTTTATACTGACGAAGCTGTTTTTCCAACCTTGTGTCTCCTACAATCTGGACGCGGAATCAAAAAATGTATGTGACATGGTGGGGCCGCGTACTCCTCGGAAATCGAGATCTGAGGTGGGGATTGATATGATGGTAAGACAAAATTTAAAAAGCTTTGCGGTCACACGAGATTTCACCCTTAATTCACCCACAAGTGTAAAGCAAAGTTAAATTTTTTTTGGGTATTATTTTTGCTTACTTTGAAGACTAAATAACGGAGGAACGGAACACGGAGTTTAGAGTAAAATTGATGGTGGGGACTACCCTCGGCAAAGTTAAAGTCTTAAGCAGCGTATAGAGTATTTATGTATACGTATACACCATCCGCGTATGCAGTATTTCAAAATAAACATGTATACTATTTATACTGCTGTGCCCATGGATATAATACATACATAGTACCTGAAAAAGAGGGTCAATATTCGCCGGAAATTAGCATTGCTGGAGAACCTGTATTATACATAACAGCATTTTTTTGATTTTCCGGCTGGGCAAAATGGTACACGTAAGTGATATCGGAAGAGTTCACCCTGCTTTTTTTCCCCGTCTATAGGACTATATAATAATATGTGTTTGGTTCTTTGCGCGTAGGGGTAATAAGAAACGTTGAGCATTATAGCTCCGGGATAATTTCCGGAATTTTATACTGAAAAGTTTTGATCCCTCGAGAAAGAACAGACGGGGGGTTTTTTTTTAAACCTAATCTACGGAAGAATCTGGACTGATATATCGGTCAGGTTAACGAGTTGGATTTGTGGTTTTTTCCCTTTTCTCCACCAATTCTGGTTATTATCGTATAGATTGATTATTTCATTTATATACAGATTTGTCTCAGCGATCCTTCGTATCCAATTTAAATTTATTCCCTTCACATGGTTGACCCTGTAACGAGAAGGAACGGCAGCAAAATTATGTCTCAAAACCAAAAATTGGGGTTCTAGAATTTCTACCTAATTTGGAAGATTGACCGAGGGGATAATTTTTATTTTATTTTGAGGTACAGTTTTTTTCACGGAAGATCACGTTCTGTTGTGTATATAAAAATAAATGGAGCCTTGTATTTTTGCTCGAGTAACTTTTTTTTTTTACAGAGACTTCCAAATCTCACAAATCCCAACTAATATATTTTTTCTCTGATCTGCAGCGACCCCGTCGGTCAGAGGAGTAGCGAATGGGAAATAGGATTATTAAATATCCTTATTTACGGCGGCGGTGGCCGGATGAACCCATCTGGTATCTTATATAGAAATTTGTGCGGGGCGCGGAAATGGCGCAAGGCCGAGGACGCGGCGACTTACGATCAAATCTAAGGATTTTATTTAGGCCCCGAGAAGGAAGAGAGGTCCACGGTGTTATTAGAACTCAGATTTGTAAGATTTTTTTTATTATAAAGTAAGGGCCAATTTCGAGTCTTTTCTGATTTCTCCAGGCTCTTTCTCTGGGTTCTCCTTCTCCCCTTCCCCCCTACCCAACCCGTCCTTCCCTTCCTTGCCCTTCCTGTTCTATCTGGACCAACCACTCGACGAAGTTACGAAGAGAACTTTGCAATAAAAGGAAAAGAACATTATGTGAGTTAATAAGACTTCCAAATGTCTTCTTTTTTTTTTTTTTTACTAAATCAAACAACAAAAAGGTGCACACAAAACTACCTACAATACTCATGCGGATGCAAAAAGTCTGCGGAATTCGAGCAATGTGTAGAACGTCGTGGTACAAATGTCAAGTGTGACGAAGTTGAAAAGCTAGTCGTTAAATTCGTCGAACACTTTTGCAAAGATCATCTCGTTGACGATCGTAAATCTTCGTCGTCACTGGTCGGAACGCTCAGGACGGTCCGAAGTGTCGGTCTAATCATCGGATCCCGACGGAGTCAGTGAAGAACAAGAAAAAAAACAAGAGGGGTGGCATATTATACTTGTGGGTTCGTAGTAAATATTCTTCCCTTGTACAACTTGATGTTTAAACGGAAAACCCTCGTTTAGAATTCACATTCCTCAAGATTCTTTCTGCCCATCACCTTTTTTTCTCTTCACTTTCGCCATACGCCAGCGCAGCGCCCTTCTTCCATCCTTCTTCCATGATCTGTTCACCAATCACGGATGCTTTTTCGTTTTTTCCCCCATCACACACCGAAACCCTTCCATTCCTTCCATTTGCATTCCAAATCATCACGCTTACCCGTTGCTCTCTCTGCTTCTGTTTCTCTCTGACACACACACACACAACTCACAACTGGCATGGACTTTTCTTCCATTTGGGGCTTCTTTTCTTCCATTTTTTTTTCACCGTCTTTTTTTCTTTCTGTGTATTTCTGACAAAAATCTAAATGTCGTGTATAGTTGTTTGAGTATCTGTTGCAAGAAATAGAGTCGTTTTTTTTGTATATAGCCCACCCATTCTGGGCACTGTTGTTGCAAACAACATTTGGATCCGCTCGTAAAAATTACCTGGGCACCTGAACGGTCCGATCTCATCTACGCGATGGATCGCGCGGGAGCGCACTAGTTTTCTAGTCCATACCAGGGCGTAACTGGAACCAATTTCAAAAAGAAAGTAAAAACCTTGAACGCATCAAAAAAACTACTCTGTAGGAGCAGAAAGATCACTGTTACGTTTAGATAGCACACATTGGAGAACTAATGATTATTCAGCGTTAGCCCGGTGAGTGCCACCTCGATTGATTAGATCTGGACAAATGTTTGTTTGTCCTACCCCATCCTTGGCTCGCTAAAATGGTTTGGGACAAATCACATGGACAAAATGAATCTATTATTTTTTTCCTTTGACGGATGAATAGAGCCACCGGTTCTGGGCCAGAACCAGATGTCCTTGACAGCAACCCATTGGATTTTACACACAAATTCCGTAATACGGATGTGTATATACAGTATATGCAAATGCCAAGTAAGCCTTTCAAACAGTCTATCATCGGATTCATTTTCCTTAAAAAAAAAACCAGTTTCTAAATTTATGGTTTGTAATTTTAAATTACGGAAACTTCCCCGTGACGCAATGCGAATCTTTAGAAGCCATTAGGACTGGCACTGGAGGGTCATAATATATACTAGTATCAACGGGCACCGTCGAGTTTCAATTAAGTTCGGTGTTCTCTTATGGAAATGGTCGGAGCACTCGGTTTGAAAGGTCTTACCCCCTCCAAGGGTCCGATTCATATTCATTCTTTTGCTCAAAATTCAATTGATCCCTGATCCCCTGCATCGCCGATACCTCGTTTAGGAATCATACTTACCCGAAAAAGAGTTCGTTAACAATCCATTTAGCATTTTTGATTTCTTCTTTTTTTGAAGATCCCTTAAAAATTTATTCATTACCTTTGCTGAGCGGAACAAAAAAAAATATCTCAAGTTATTACCATCGGGAGTTCCGCTCGTCGAATACCTCCCCGTTCCTACTACTAGCGTCCTTTTCGCTGTCTTGATCCCTGTTTTTTTCGGTGCTTATGGTAGTGTATGATGATCCCCCCCTTCATCAAACAGCCAAAAGTGACCTATACTAGTAGCTCGTTTTCCATTTATTGCTCCACCGGAATGACCGGGCACGTTTCTGATTGAGGTAAGGCCAATGTTTTAATATCGAAATACATGAAACGGCCAAATACAAAATTCCGGACTAATTTCTTCGAGGAAACTCTGTTTATCGAAATTCCCTCCTTGGATTCGGCTTGTGATCCCCAAATATTCTCAGACTTCACTTATTTCCTCCTCTTTCCCGGTGTTTGTTTTCCATCTCTCTCTCTCCCTCTCTCTCTTCGCAAGTAATGTGCCATCACATGGTTTTTCATTTTAAAAATGAGCACAATTAAATCATGATCTATAAGTACCCCGATATTAATTTTATCAAAAAAGAACACCCGTGTCTTCGAGGAATCAAAAAGAAAATCCCCTGGTTTAATGACGTTAAGTAAAACAAAGCCTAAAGTTAAGGCCAAGGGATCGATCGCAGTGGCAGTGTAGCCGGTGACAGGTATTTTATATGAGAAGTAGATGAATAATAAAAGATGTCATAAGAATGAATGAGGAATACAGCAGGTTGGGACCCTAAAACCTATGTTCACCATTCATGGTGGATGTTTGGCCTAACTTGAAACTTCATATATTCTCTATAGCAACCATCCAGAAAGCGGTGCTTCTTTGGCTCAGTTGGTAGAGCGTTGGTCTCATAGTCCATCTATGATCGCTTAAGTAAGCGAGTAATCCAAAGGTCGCAAGTTCGAGCCTTGCAAGGAGCATTTTTTTGTTTTACCGTGGTTTTTTCCTAGAGCCCTTTTTTATTTTCTATGATAATGTTTAGATTTGATATTATACTTGCTGTAACGGGGCAATGGTCTTGTACTGTAGTGCGAGCCACCCTATACAGAGATAGTTGAACCGCATTCCTTTATTTATTTGTTCTCAAATTACCTTCCTCTTTCTCAAGCATGTTAAATCCGCCTTTCGTTGTTTGATTTACATTTACATATGATCGCTGTCCCCCAAATTAAGAATCTTTTACATCTGCAAGTTTTCTCCACCATCGTTTATCCTCATTGGCAAAGTTCGTTTTACTATAATCTTACTCGTACTACCGAACTAATATGTTTTACAGATAGTTCGTACTACGTCATCAGCCCCCCAGTATGAAACGAAACTGAGAAAGCTTCAAGAAAATACCAAGAAATTAGTCTGCACTATTAATGTTGAGAGATATTAGCTACCGCTACATGGGCTACCACCTCACTTTACAAGAAAGAATACATCTGCGCAATAAGGCCAAGAAAACTATAACCGTTATTCTTTTTTACGCTTTCCAAACTGCACCCTCAGGAGACAAAGTATCCTGTCAAACGAGTGAGCGGATAATTCAGTTCCAAGAGCAGCGTTAAAAGAGTGTCTTAAAAAAGAAAAAATACATACATCTATATCACTTGCAAACTGGGATAAAGCTCGTAAAGCCGCTTTTCCCACCCATTCCTCTGTTTTTATAACCGTTTCAGGGGTAATAAAATCCCGAGATATCCTAGCAGCGAAGATCATTTGAGCTGAAGCAGCACGAATACGAGATTTTGTGATTGGTATATTTCCAATTGGAACTTCTGGTTGTTTTTGATTGGAAGCTATGTTTGTTGGGGTATGAAAAACGGGTGCTTTATGAACGTGATCAGGATCGGCTCGTTCGTCAGTGGCAGTTACGGGTTGGTGGTGTTCCTTGTTAACGAGAGTCATGTTTTCGTGATATTGGTTCCAACTCGCTGCCAAGTGGAGAATGTGAAATGTTTCCATCTGTTGGAAAGGTTATCAGAGAGTTGGTTCATTGTAAAGGTATGTGCCTAACCTCTAATGATCCTAAATCCTCGACTCTTTGCAACAGTGACTCAATCAGTTTGTTGTTATGATCCGGGAAGGACGTTTGACGACCTTGTGAACTATAAAAACTAGAACATTGAAAAAATAAAATAGTCGTGTTGTTATTTTCTGGAAAGAAAAAAGGTACCTATCCGCCGAAGCGTTGACAATGTCTCCATATACCTTTGCGTCATTTCCTGGCACTCTAGTCGACTCAAGAGCATTCAAAAGCTTAAAAAATGGAAAAATATTAGCCAAAGGAGATAGATCATTGTAATAAACGTTTATCCTTTACAGCTACGTGCAATTCGGGGTCGGCTGAAACCTAAAAGAAAAAGGGGGATCCGTTTAAAAAATACGCCAAGGATTTTGATTTCCAAAACTAACGGGTTTGCTAATATAGTATGCATCCTCATCCGAAGTGTTCGTACTAACGGAAAAATGAAAATCATAATTGCGGTTGACTGCTATACTCGCTTTGGGAACGACAATAGATCCGACTGGTAAGGATTCACGTAGACCACCACAAGAACCAAGGCTAAGAGAGGAGTATTAAGGGAAAGCTTTTTGTTTCTTTTGTCTGAAAACACATACCGGACTACAATCATATCACCTATAACGCATTCTCTTACTTCTCGTAAGAAGAAATCCGCATTTGGAGCACCCATTCCAATAGCAACTATACTGATAGGAACATTATTGTATAATCCTGTGATGGTAAGGAATCCACGTTCGGATTCTAGTATAAAGGGCGGTGGATCAGTTGATAGTAATTTTGCGATGCTTTTTGCCCTTGAAGGTGGTCCAACGGTAATCTTGTGATAGATTATTGAAGGAACTTGGGGTCATTTCGTCATTTCATTTGACGTACAATTCTATTCGCTACTTCTCCTACTTTAACACCAAGGTGGTACACACGTCCTTCAGATGTTTTGGGGAAATCTTAAAAGTTGACATAACCAATATGCATAAATACTTCTGTAAAAGAAAAAAAAAAGAATCATAGCACATACTTGCATCTAGTAGTTGGTCCTTCATTACGAGTTTTTTTTGAAATTGTGCTGTCAACTGATTTTTCACGGCATAACCCGAAGCAACCGGCATGCAGACTGAGTTTCAAAGTAAACTCCGTTTCCCAAACTAGGCCACGAAACCACGCTATTGTTAACTTCTTTGGAAGTTTGTTTGTGAAAAAAAATTGGTACAAAAATAAACAAACGAAGGTGTGCTTAATTTCTTTCCCTTCATGTCTTCACAATCTACAGACCATTCTGAAATACCTAAAGTTGTTGAAAGAGGAGTTCCACTTCCTGCGTTATCGACTGATGTGTTCAAGGAAAACATTTTTCTTGGAAAAGTTGTGTTCTGTACAGGTGGAGGATCCGGAATATGCAAAGCGATTACTAAATCGATGGTAGATAATCACTCTCTGGTTCATACAACACGCTTTTTTAAAGAATTATATAGATGCAACATGGTGCTAATGCTATTATCATCGGACGAAAGTGTGTGCTCTCCCTCTCCCTCGTTCAATACCGCTAAAAATGATTGACATGATTGCTTAGTTTAGAACGATTGGAAGCATCTGCTTCTGAATTATCCTCTTCAACGGGTAAAAAATGCATCGCTGCTCAAGCTGACGTACGTCAACCACAACAGTTGAAAGAGGCTTCTCAAAAAGCAATCGACGAATTCGGACGAATTGATTTTGTGATTTGTGGTAAAAAGCTATATTCATATTAAGAAGAAACCCTTGTATAATAATTTTTGACTCTAGGCGCGGCTGGCAACTTTCTCGCACCTATTAGTGGACTTTCAGAAAACGCCTTTAGAACGGTTATTGAAATAGACACTGTAAGGATTATTAATAAAAAGAAAAACAGCTCCCCTCAACCAGGATTAATCTTATTTCTTATAATTTTAGATTGGGACGTTTAATACCGTCAAAGCCACTTTACCCTACATTCGGACCACGAGGGGTTCATATATCCATATGACGGCAACCATACAATACAAAGGTATGCTCCTAACCGTCCAAAAAAAACGTCATTGACAACTTTGTGTATTTAATTAATTGAAATTCTCATTAAAAGGCACTCCATTCCAAGCGCATGCCAGCGCTGCGAAGGCTGCTATTGACACCTTCTCCTCCGCATTAGCAGTAGAAGAAGGTCCTCGAGGAATTCGGTCCAACGTGATAGCACCTGGTCCGATATTGAACACCGTCGGTATGGAGAGATTAACATCCACGCTTCCTGGTTTCAGCGAAAAGATCTCGACAAGTATTCCGTTACAACGACAAGGTGTTACGCAGGATATTGCCAACGCTGCTGTTTTCCTCTTTAGCGATGCAGCTATTTGGGTGACTGGTCAGATTTTCATAGTTGACGGTGGGGCGCGCCATACCATGATTGATTTTCTTCCTTATCCTGGTGCGGTTATTGACCCCGAAACGACCAAAGTTATGATAGCCCCTCGAAAATGAAGGAGAAAGGGCTGTTTTCTTTTCTTCATATTACCCGACGTCAAGGAAAAAAACAGATTACTTACTGGCTTGCGTTCCATTCTGTATCATTCATTCATTCACTGCTATTACGAAAGATGGACGAGTGCCGAGAAAATATAATTAAAGAAGTTTCACACTATTTGACATGAGCGGAAAAGAAGTCTTTTTTATGAAAGTTTTTCTTCTGACTGGATATGGTAATTCACCCATATAAGCACTTCTTCCAACTATTACGATGGCTGAACGCCTATTTGACACTTTTTAAAATTCCTTTATAAAGAAAAGGGTTGAAGGACTAATTTGGTGAGAAAATAGGTGCTTTTCTCCCAAAATGGTTAGTAGAAACGCAAAGGTGTGTGTTTTTTTTGATGAATGTTATCGTGGTTTGTCATATATATTTATGTAGTTATGTTTGATCCTCTCTTGCTTTTTTCCCAGGTAAAAAAAAAACGAACCAAAAACCGTTTGATTGGGGTTTCTTGTCTATTCCCCTTCTACATGATATGTTTCAAGTCAGTCCCCCACATCACATTTAGCACAGCATGTCATCGCTTCGGACAGTTCTCAACATATTTTGGCTTGATTCCGTATATGTATGTTGATCGTAGATTCTGTTGAGTTTCTAAATACTAAGTCACCATCTATGATATATCAAACACTCATATTTCCTTTGAGGGATCGGGAAAGAGTATCAGTAAAAATGTTTCATTCAGCAGCATATTGACATCCCCCGACTCCGGGCTAGCAATATGAATAAGTATATCTACTTCTATTAATAGTGTTTTCTTCTATCAAACACCAGTCGTATACACTCGGCAATACAAGTATAGTCTGATTAAAAGATCTGGGAATTTTGCCTAAATCAGGGGGTGGGATTACGTCACGGAATGAAATTGCGTGAAACTTATGAACAGACCTGGCCCATATGAAAAGACTCATGGTTGGTTGAAAGAGTTTTAATCAAAAAATAGAGACTCGTATGGTTTTATCACGAAGAGTGAGCTGCGAGAGTCGGAGGGATGCCAGTCAAAAACGAAAACTATGAGCTGAAATTAGGGAGAGAGAGAAGCAAATCCGTATTTGGTATTTGTAGTTTGAGTAAGAGGTTCACTTAACCAAACCATACTTTCCTTCTTTCATGTTTTCATGTATGTCAACGGTAATTGATAAGACCGATAGACAAAACTAGATTTTAGTCCCAAATGACAATAACCTAACCTAAATTTTCGCCGAGATTCCCGACATTTTAACTATAGCAATGATAACTTTTACAAAGGGGAGGCAACCGCCGGATGACTTCGGGTCTCAATCGTTTTATCACACAAGGGGGAGCTCCTTTTTGCTTCCCCCCTTTGCTGCGACCAGTGGTGGTGGTATTCATTGCGCGGATATTGCAGTGCA